TCTCGATTTTTTCGCAAGAGTAGATTCTTGACCGCTTGCGCTTATCTGCAGTGACCAGTCTTTCGTCCCGTCCTTAAATCGGTAATGTCAGCTCTTACGGCGACTGCACTGTTTTTAGTGAAGGGGTCGTCGAAGCGTGAAACGCAGACGATTTGCAAATCGACTCCATTAGCCGGTTCAATCGCTACTCCTAGCGAACACTGACGGAAACTGGCTAACACGGAATTAGCCAAGCCTTCAGCTGTACGTAGACTATCTGTTTAAGACATATTGCACAATTCCTTATACTTAACGCACGTGCACGCCTCGTTGACTTTTAACACAGCTTTTGCATTATGTTCAGAACTAACACAAAACCTGGTGCTGAATATATGCACCTTATAATCGTGCATATATTTTATATGCAAACATTTATAATTATTAGTCCATTGACCAACTGGCTAACACACGTCACGATTTAGCGACTACAAAATCAGATAGCGCACTTTCACCAATAAGCACATCAACGGTAACTTAAACCTCTTGCTTCAGTGTAACGTCGCGTATATCTATTGTTTGTTTTACATCTAATATACGCCATAGCAACGATTCTCATTCATATGAAATCTAGGTAGATACCTAGCTTTTGTAAACGATCACTTGTGCCTGTCATCATGTTTCTTGGGCATCTCCCTTCCCTATCACGCTCTACATTGTCCTTATACCGGCCATTCCAGCTGCCACGCCTTCGCTCTACCATTACGACGACGTTGTTTTTGAAAACTTACGATGAGAGTGGGACCAACAAGGCAGGAGGATGGGCTCCGAGAAAGAAGCGTATCGGTCACTGCCGTCAGATCTTTTAAAAGAGGAGCTCTAGCTAAAGGGCGAGAAAGCACATACAACAGTTGACCGGTAGCGGTAGAATGGCTCAGCATTAGCGGTAGCAGCTACTGGCAGGATGGAACCGTACATCTGGGAGAGATGCTGGCGTTGCTTTTGGGTAACTCGCAAAGATCGCGGATTTATCTCTCTTTTAAGCGGGCAGCCGGGCGGTAGAACAGAGAAATAAAGAAGAACAGACCAAAGAAGTTGGGAAGGGGGGGGGGGCAATAGGAGATGCTGGACAAATACCACTTTGGAAAAAAAAGGAGCAGAAGGAAAAAAAGAAATAAGTGGGGAAAAAAGTGGAGTCTAAAACAGGTTCGCTAACACTACTGATGGCAAGGATAGCAGCTATAGCAATGCCAGCTGAATGGCGCTCGAAGCATGTCCCTGTCGAGGCGCCGGTTGAGAAATCGGTCACGGCCTGGGAGCTGCAACCGCCCGTTGTAGATCACCTAACTGCAACCAACGACGTAGTGATGCTTTCGAGAGGGGCGGCAAGAGACGGCGTCGAAAGATACAAGGAAGTTACACACAAACCTAACTTCGCATCCCATCAGTGGTCTCCTCATTTCCGTTCTCTGCTGTTGCGAGCAAAAGACCGAAACATTTTCGAAGATTCGCCATTTATCTAAATTGTACGATAAAGAACGAACACGAGACAACTTCCAGGAGCCACACACCCCCACCAAAGGTAAAACGAATCGACGAGATTGAGGCACTGCGAGAGGGGTATGCGGGCCAATCAACACGGGATTTGTGTCGTTTTGGGGTTTGGCCTGTTCGTCAACGTATCGAAAGAACCTTGAGAAAGGGATAGGTCGACGAGATGTACCGAGACCAGGGGCTGAGTAACTATTGCTGCTGCCGATAAGTGATGAACCTGATCCGAAGGATGTGAATTACGGAGTGCGCGACGGCGATCCAAATCAGAAGTACAATAAAAGGAAATGTAACTGCAACTCTGTCTTTGTCGTAGGCGTATGTGTTGATGCTGTTTTACTATCCTTTGTATTATTTCGTCTATCTTTGTTATGCTTATGTTATGGGATGTTGTGTGCATGCGCAGCCAGCCACGTCATGAACTGGGATAGCCAACATAGCAACTACGGCTGTGTACTGACGAACCATTATTATTATTGCTAATGTGAACCTATTGAGAAAGGTACGTTTTTATTGTACAATCCATTTATTGTACCTATAATTCTGCAATATAATTTAGCGAAATAGCTAAGCTTGTCTTTATCAAAGTGGGTGTCTGTAGAGTGGACCCCAGAAGGGTTGATTGTTTGACTTCGCACCATTCTTCACAAATTTCGATAGCCTTAACCATAATGGCTATTCTTGAAGTAATCCCACCAGACTCAATATGCGTATGCTGCCATTTTATTCAACCGTAGAAGCACTTTTCAAATTCAATCGTGATAACAAATTTCAGATCCGTTTGTGTTTTTTTTCAAGCTTCTCAACTGTCTCGAAGTGCTTTTTAAGCTTAGGTCTAAATCTGGTGAATATGGCAGTTTTTTTCTTGGTGACAGATTGCTCAGAACACGATTCTTACTGGCAGTATCGGACTAAGTTACGAGATACCCATTCAGGTCACCCGGAAAGAAAGCTGTCTTCTGTGTTCCTTCGTCCATCGCAAGCCGGTCGCCTTCAAGCCCTGTTTTCGATATCTGGAGAAACCAAACTTTGCCAAAAACGCAGCGCAGCTAACGCTCTTTTCGGCTGTGCAGAATCCCTAAGATGTCTCATAATACACAGTGAGCTCACTAATTCTTCCAAGGTGTATTTATTTCGATTTAGACATAGCAAGGCAGGGTCACTATTTTTTTAGCCAGTTGTTTGGTTGTCGTGCTAACTCCGCTTCCTGGTACTTGTGACTATCCTATTAGGAAAAACACACTGGAACTGATTCCGCGACAACAAACGGAAAGCAATGAATGTGCTGATCGATGAGCAGAAAAGACACCCGCTTTCCAATTTTGAATGTTCGCCCCTTAAGCTCAAATTATGGGTTATGCTCCAATCTGATATACCCAAACCTCCAGGAATAACAGAAACGATAATTGAAGGACCTTCTTCAATCATTGATTTCATCTCGTCGTTGCCACAGAAGAACAGCTGTCTTGAGCCAGAAGCATGTTTGAAATCAAAATTCCCTACTCAAAACTTCTTGAACCAAGATTCCAGCCATGTGAATCGACACAGCTGTCTCCCAAAAGATAGCAAGAATTTTAATAAAATAGTTAAGGACTTGATCGGGGCAGTATTTATGAGTTTGCCTTTGAAAAAAATAAAATGGATTAGCTGACAACACTAGTTTTATTTGAATCCCCACAGGATTTTTAATAAATGAAATCGTCTATGTGATACTTTACTCAGGAAACCCTCAGTCATAATATATAACAGTTTTTTTGAACGGCCAACGACAGCAATATCCGTCCTCTTATATATACTAGCATCTGCGAATGAATCATCAATTTTAATTGCTTGTTCTCAATTTGACAATCGCGTCACCCAGACTCAGCTTCGCTAATAACAATGTGTTATTGAAAACACGTTATTCTCCAGATCGAAATCAATGATGTTCGCTTTCACTACTGCTACTACTGGCAGTACCCACGATAAATTAAGCACCTAGCGATTTCTTCTCAGCCACACAATCTGTTGCGCGGAAACGATTTGCAATGTGAAACCAGCCGTTCGCTGTAAGGTAACTAGCGCTCCCTTCTATTTCATACGGCGACCCGGATCGGACGCCATGATTCGCTTCTCCGTCGCAAAAGTGCCTAACCCCAGGGGTAGTAGCAATATGAACTAGTCAGCCCTTTTGCTTTTGCCTCTTCCAAGCCTCATGTGTACCATGTCCGTCTCGCAAAGTCAGCTGAAATTGATTTTCCTCTTTTCACAGTTGGATTGGAAATGTATATCTTCGTTGTTCTTTCGTATCGGGGGGCAGAACTTCGGAGTAAGCCGCACAAGCTGTCGCCACGCGGTGCGGTAAGGCTTTTATCTCGAAAACGCCACGAGATCGCGAGCTAACAGCGGAACCGGGCGGGAAAAACCTGCCAACAATCAGTATCTCGATTCGCAATGCGTCGCATAATCCCCGCTTGGTCTAAATGCAACGTTTTTGTAAAGCAGAATCTCTCACTCGCGCTGCTGGAGCAGTGGTCTTAACAACAGTATTACATTGCACGTTTGCTTCGATTCCTTGTTTTTTGTTTTGTTTGTTCCTCACGTGAGACGAAACGAAAGTTAAAAACAACGCTGCCAACCTCTGACACTGGAAACCCAGTTTTGGCAGCAATACGTTTTCCTAGTATTTTCTTTATAATAAATTATGCATTTATGCTAAAAAAAAAAATTCTATCTTTAGAACGAATAGACGTTACAAAATATTTCACTAAACACCATTTCTCCACGTTAGGCATTTGCACGGTTGCTCAGTGTTTTCCCGCCATCTTAATGTCGTTGAACTTTTGTTGTGCTTTATTAGCACAGCAGGCCTTTACTTTACGGGGACCCATACACCCCTGAGTCAAGCAGCTTCCTCGCAGTAGGAAGGGCCAGCCAATGACCGTGCTAATTTACGCTAATACGAAGACTTAGCGGAAATGGGAGCCTACGCTCCGCAGACGGAAGAACTGCACCCAAACACTTTTGCAAGTCAACTCGTTGAAGCATCTGGAACAATTGGATACATTAAAGACAACAGCAGGTGGGAGGAGAACTAAACAGAACGAAAAGGAAGCTGCGACACTGTACTTCCGATTTCACGGTCTTGCCTCGTACCACTGTACGTGCTTACTCAGAGCTTGAATGCGGTTAACTCTTACATCTTACACTTCCGGCCTTTTAGGCAGGTCGTACGCTTTGTATGTGGTCCCTTAAGTAACATTTTCCGCAGGTGAGGCATACCTAAGCTGCATATGGACTATATCGAGACCAAAGAGGTTTCCAATCTCGTAGCCGGAATACGAAATGCCACGAGCCCCTTGTTCTAAAAAAAAATGAAATATATGAAGCACACAGTTTATTATATAATAAAAAAAAATGACTGCCATTTAATTGCTCAACAATAAGAGACGCAGCAGTTGCACATTTATTATAGTCACATAAATCAACTGATTTGTTAGTTATCGACTTTTAATTACACGGTGCCTGAGTTATCTAGAAAACTGAAATTGGCATCAGCCGCAGAACGAAGCAAAACGCACAAAAAAATATATTGCGAATGTACAAGTTCGATGGTTTTTCAAGGTCAGTTTTGAATAGCCTCTTCGTCTTATTGGGTATAACGTTCGAAGGCACAGCGGCCTTTGCCTCTCGTTTTGAAGCTAATATAATTACTAGCTTGATCACCCTCATGAGTTAATTATTGATGTCGATCGGATGCACTTGCCAGCTTTCGGTTTTCGAGATAAGCTTGCGCCCCGTTAGGCCTGACGTTTTTATGATAATATAAGCGTATGTGCACGCCGTCTTGATTGGCCTGAGACGGCCATTTGTTGGACAGATTTCATCTTCATCCTACTGACCTAAGGCGGTCATTCCGTCGAATTCGTGGATAGCGCTAGTTGTTGATACCGCTTGAAATTGTTTCTGAAGGCCTGCAGTTACGTTTCAGCCATACTCCATCGTTGTCATGTGACCAAAAAGATCTGTGTCAAGGACCTTAGAACACAACGGAAAACATTTCGTACAAAATAGTATATATTAACCGATTAGAGCAATCTAGAGCCCGAGCCTTCTAAGAAGACTGTTTGTTACCATTCACATTGATTATTTACTAGAATAGTAGTTTAACAACGGCTCTTTTTCTCAGAACAATAGAAAAATCCGTGCGTTGAAGGCTTCTTCTCAGAGACTGCATATCTTTTGCATTTTAGCGATTAATACATCAACCTACGGTTACCAAAATTGTGTTTTGTCCTTTTACATAGGTGTAACCTAACACGATTTCAATGCATAGTCATTTCGGAACCTGCCCATATATTCATACGACCGTCGAATCAATAGAAATATATTGCAGCGTCTGCTTTGTGTCAGAGCTAAAACAGACGGTACTTGGCACGTGACTCTTGCCAGCTTCGCTTAGGGTATTGTGCGTTGTTTCCGTTTCTGAAACGTGCCGACCGCAAGTATTTCTGCCATCGTTTTTTCTATCTTTCTCTTTCTTCTTTCATTACAAACCAGTAATACAGCAATCGTCTGGGACGTAATTTTACTAAAGCAGTCGTCGTATATAAATATGTACAATACGTAGTGATATTAAGTGTCCTACCAACTTGCTGCAGCTTCGTCTTTCCTATTCCGTTGTTGCCAACATGTTGAAATGTTGTTCTTTCTATCTGCAGCGGGCGATGGGAGCAGCGAACAATCCCCGCTGACGTGGCATTGTCGACGGCATGGTCATCTTTCACCGCACCTTATCATCCTTTCTCGCTCGGCTTTTCCTGCCAATAGAAATCTCTGCTTTTTTTCTCAACCTCTATGTTGCTCCTATATATATATAAGAGTAATGTTCACTTAGTGTCCGGATCTTCCTGTCAATGTTCCTATTCCCTTGAACTTTATTTTATTAAAATTTCCGCGGGGCCATATGGCTCGACAAGCCCATGCCTTCGTGTCCCTACGATATTCTCAGTCCAATAAGCACTCAATCATTGTTCGGAGCATCACGAACGGCGGTAAAAGGACCAGTAGCGTCATCAGAAGCAAAGCAATGTCGCGAGCCTAAGCGACGGTCACTTTTGCACAAAACAAACACAAATTGCGCGTGAAGCGCCGGCAGTGAACGGTTTTCCTTTTTCGTACGTACACACTCATGTCTATATATATATAAAGAAATTTACACAGAGCCACACAGGGACAAATATGAACGACCAGACGATGAGGTTGTTGTGCCGGTGCGCCATCTCTTGACCATGTGCGGGTAATCTGTAGAGACTGCAGATGGTCTAATAGCTATGGTCTCCTTGCGGCTCTTGCTGAGTCTCGGCGAAACCTTTTTCTTTGCCAACATGAACCCTACTAGGATGGCGGCCAACGGTGCGTTTCACGTCATTCGACACTTGTTGTCGACCGCTAGCCAGGCTTCTCTCCGAGGTTCATGGCGTCGGATTTCCTATCTACTCATTCTTTTGCTGCTTCTCGTCCAGTTGTTCGGTTTGTTGCTTCAGCCCACGTCTGCGCCCCCTAGCAGACCCGTGTGCCCTCTGCCTTCTTTTGTTCCGTTTTGCAATGATACTGAAAAGGGGTATTGCCCCTTTGCCCTGCAGTTCCGGCTTTGTTCCTTCCGCAGCGGACCTCGGCCTTAGTTCTGAAACTCGTGGTGAGGCTGAGGTGCCCGCGCATTAAAATGTTACTTCAAAAGGTCCTATTGCTTCCAGTTCCAATGTATTGTCCCCCTGTCTCCTCGCTTGGGGCTGCTGCATTTGCGTTGCTTCGGCCCCGTATAAGCTCGTTTGATCAAGTCTGCACGAAGACCTCCGTAAGTCACAACCCCTTCGGTCCTCCGCTGCTTGTCCCTGAACAAGTCCCGTGTTGACCAGCACCCCGGCAGAGCGGCGCGGTTGAAAGAGACCATTGTATGCTCTGTCTAGACTGCTGACCGGCGTTAAGGCCTGCGTGGCCGCTATCCTTGCTTACCCATTCTCAAACTCTGCGATCCAACATGCTCTAGGCCTAGGGCAGTAAGTTGAAGCAGTTTAATTTCGGAAGATCGAGGCTGCCAGGGTGAACAAGTAAGCCACCAACTTGGCAGACCGCCGAACCGCCAAACCGTCAAGCGGCAAGCTCTCGTCAAGGCTTTTCTGCAGTTATGCGAATCATCGGGCCGTCAGAAGATGGCGGCAGTAGCACTGCTTCCCTCAGTCCATAAAGCCAGTGGCAGCAGCAGCCACCACTAGTGGCAATGCTGAAAAGGCCGAACTCGAAACCGGTGCAAGCACAGACAGACCACAAGGAAGTTCAACAAAACACTTGGCCAGACGGTACAATAGCAGTAAAACAGGGACAAGTTAGGAAGCATTGCTGGCTGAAGCAGGACAAGAGGGGCGGACGGAGAATGCGTGGCTAATGCTGAAGGGATAACCCGACGACCTAGTTGAAGAGGGAAGGACAAAACTTTGGAGAAACGAAAGACGATGCCGGGGGTTGAAGCAATGGGCTAAAGGCGCCTTTAGTAGCATGCTATCGCTTCTACCACTGCTGCCTCTTACAACAAGCGCCTTTCACGCTCGGTTTACGAAAGTTAAGTGACGTTCAGGGCTCTGACCAGACTAGGCCAAGCCCGGCGCTTGTAGAATTACCCTTACTACGCTTCACGTCAGCCATCAGCCGTTACTATCTTTTAATGTTGCAATAACTGACAGGACAGCTGATATCTCTGTTACGCAAAAAAAAACGCATGTGTACCCTCCGACGTAAAAGTATAATTTTTTAGGAGTTGATGGAAACATAATAATTTATTTAGGAAGTTGTAGAGTTTGTCGCTGTATTCTATTCACTATATTACTATACCAAATATTTCAATTCAAGTTTACAGCCCGTGTAAAAGAATGAGTTGGGGTTTTCCGTTAATATTAAGTTGAAGCCTACGTTCCGGCGGGGTTATATTGTGATACTGAGTCTAAAACAGGGGTTAATGCAGACATCGTACGTGATCGCGTGCCTTGGAACCCACTGGTGAGCAACATTAATCAATGAACCCATTATAAGCAATACATGATGCTTCTATCTGGCCTTAATGCTTCGCACGGTTAGAACAATCTGCCGAAGAGCACTAAGACAGGGCAAAATAGAAACAAACCAAACTGCCTTCATGATTCTCGTTCCATATCCATATGCGCCTTACGTAAAGCCTTAAATGTGACACAGTGTATATCTGTGAGCGACTGTATACGCTCTATTATAGCAGATCGATAGGAAGAGCTAAGCGCGCCTTTTTTCGATTGCAAACACACATGGTGCGCATGTCCACTGTGTCTACCCTGTAAAAGTCCCTTTTCTTAAGTGTAATATCTTCAATCTTTCATCATCTCCTAATAAGTGGATGGGAAGATATGTTTACCGTTGTATACCTCTGCATGCGCGTTTCTGTTCAAGCTGAGGATGTTGAAACCGGCCTAGCTCCCCGTTTAGAGTCGACACCGCTTCTTTCAATCCCTCTTGGTTTATTTTTGATGCTACTCGTCCTGTTCAGTACACATATAATACCGCTCATTCACAGGCGGCTACAATAGCGATTGCGACTGCGTCTGCAAGAGGCATTGATGAGCTTTCGCAGTCAGAGCAGTCGTATGCAGACTGCAACGTTAGTGCTGCAGAGCCCACTTTGCCATCGCCACTCGGCTCCCATCGGTACTGAAGTCGGAGCACAATGAGGCTGTGCTGTTTGACTGCGAGCTCCTGGCAGCAGGAGCCTCCATACCCGCAATAGTAGGCAGGCAGGCAAGCAAGCAAAGTGGTCCCAGTCAGTACGTCCCCGCAACAGCCATAGGCCCATAGCGATGTCGAGAAGGCCTGCAGCGGTGACAGTAATGGCGGTGGTTTTGGTAGCGGTGGTGTTATCGGAAAACTTTATCTTCTTCATTCCATCCTTGGCATTGCTACTGGCGGTCCGCGTTACGTTGTCAAAATCCTCTAGCTTCGCTGTGATCCATCCAATCTTCTGCCGCTGCGGTGGCACTTCGGCTCGCCACTCTGCTCCAATCACAGCTGATACGTATACCCCTTAACGCCCCAGCCTGTGAAATACCTCGTTCTTTTTCGGTTTGCTGATTGATCATCACGAGGGGTAGCTTGCGCAGTCTTTCTGTCTGACAAAATTCGAAAACGATGCGCCTACCCAACCACGTATTCATGGGCGCATAGTTGTACATATCCAAGACGAACTACCTCGAGTAACGTCCGTTGGGGCTGCGTCTGATATATTTGTCCTCGAACCAGTAAAGAATTATTACACGTGACGACCCTTCTCTGTGGTACTAAAGGGCTAATCGTCTCCAAAATGAAAGCCGACTACCTAACAAAGTGATTCCGTGGCGCTCGGAATAGAACAGAAATTTAAAATTGTAAGAGTAGAGATGACACAAGTTCAGCTTCTCTATATTTCTTTCTTCCGGTACCTGCAGTCGTCTCTAACTATGTAATACTTCTTTAGATGTATACTGTTCGAAAAAACAGGGAGTAATCTATGCCCAAATGGGGAGTTGAGGTTTATTTTGAGTTGCTATGCAATCCGTGAATATATATAAATATAAGAATGTATATACCGTTAGAAAACAAACAACAATCAATTAGTAGCATACTGAGCAAATATATGCTTCGTATATGAGAGGCGCTTAACAGTGAATGACTTAATTCGTCTACAGTTACTAACCGATCTAAAAGCGTGGCACTTGCCTTTACCATCATTCAGCATTATTCTAGATGCTGCTTTTGAAGATATGACATATAATTTCATGTTCAAATATTCCTAAAAGCTATAGCATCGAAAAGCAGATCCGACTTTCTACTATCACTAACGTAAACCGTAAAAAAAATGTATCCAGGTAACGCACTTTACGTAGTAATACAACGAGTGCAAAAACACCAGGAATCACATTCAACGCAATTGAGTGATCATGACAAGACAATACGAGAACTCATTTCCATTTCCAGCCAATTATATGATAAAGGTCCCCAAATGTAAAGGAGATCCGCGACGGTCTTCAACTACTGTGCAAACAGCGGGAGACAGGCGGGAATGAAATGGGGAACCGAAGAAACTGAAGTGTGGGAGGAGTACCGAATTCCCGAGTGCGACAAGGGAAATGGGGATGGTGAGGTGGAGAGGGGTCGAGAAAGATGGGGAAAGGGCGGTCCAACAAAGGTAAGTAATGGAGGGGAAAAAGAGTTTCTATTGGGGCTGTTGGTACTGCTGCTTCTAGAAAGACGGAACATTGGCATACAGGAATCAGAGAGGTCGAAATTGCCTCCCATCAGATCCCATGGCCCGATGCGCTGTCTGCCGGCGCCGCGCTGTTGCCGCCTTATACCTTACTCAACAACACAACAGCTTCCTCTTCTGATGAAGAACCGAGGACGTGGTCAGCGGGTGATGACACTACGCCCCCTGCAAACAGAACATGTACTATCGTTTTCAGCGGCTGCATAGAGTTCGGTACGGAAGGGGCCGAATCGAGGGGAAACAAGCCCACAAAAAGATGTATCCAAAAGAGTTGTCCACCTTATATGTTGCATGATATGTATATCACTGATGCAGAAAAAGTGGCCGTAGTGCATATCAGTATTGACTAAAGCGTGTTTTTGTCTGAATGTAGTTAATGCTTAGCCCAAAGCTATAGCATTAACATTTTGAAACAGTAATATGAGGTCCGATCGTGGTGTCAATATCGAAATGTCAAAGGGCAAGTATGCATAAATTGATTTGCTGCAAGAAATAATAAAC